TTTTTTTGAGATGGCGTCTCACTCTATTGCCCAGGCTAGTGCAGTGGTACAATCTTGGCTCACTGCAACCTCTGCCTCCCGGGTTTAAGCAGTTCTCTGCCTCAGCCTCCCAATTAGCTGGGATTACAGGTGCATGCCACTACGCCTGGCTAATTTTTGTATTTTTAGTAGAGATGGGGTTTCACTATCTTGGCCAGGCTGGTTTTGAACTCCTGACCTCGTGATTCACCTGCCTCGGCCTCCCAAAGTGCTGAGATTACAGGCGTGAGACACTGTGCCCAGCTCGTGCTTTGCACTTACCACAAGTTAATGATTGTGTATAATTTGTGCTGTCTTGTTTGGTGTCTTGAATATCTTGATTGTTTTAATGACTGAACTCCACGAAGGCCGGGTCTGTTTGGCTTTGAACAGTGTATTCTTGGTATCTAATACGGAATCATGCATAGCATAAACACTTAATAAACATTTAGGGAATAGATTAATAATTCAATGGGAAGAACACTGTTTCCGTAGGACTCCAGCTTTGGAAAGGATCACAGATTATTTAGTCTAGGGCCAGGCTTGGTGGCTCACACCTGTAATCCCAACACTTTGGAGGCTGGGGTGGGTGGATTGCATCAGTCCAGGAGTTCTAGACCAGTCTGGGTAACATGGCAAAACCCATCTCTACAGAAAATACAAAAATTTTGGTGACACATGCCTGTAGTCCCAGCTACTCAGGAGGCTGAGGTGGGAGGATCACCCAGAGTCCAGGAGGCAGTGAGCTGAGATTGCACCACTGCACTTGAGCCTGGGTAACAGAGCAAGACCCTGCCTCAAAAAGGAAAAAAGATCATTTAGCCCAGTCTCCCTTTCTACCATGTTGGTCATGTCCTTGACAAAGGTACATTCAAACTTTATTCCTTATGTACTCTATGAGCAAAGCCCGTGGGTTCTTTTGGTTGTATCTCAAGTGGAGTGGTTGCTATGTCCTTTGCATTCCTGTCATTCTTCTCTCAAGTGCTTAGGAGGCCTGGCCAGGTGGAATAAAGTAAGATGGTTGTCCTCTTTGATTACAGCAGTATTGTTTCCTGTAATTCTCAGACTGCATTCATGTCTTAACCATTGTCATCAATACCTATATGTATTGAGCTCATAGTAAAGGACGATTTGATGGCTGTTCTCCATACAAGTTATCACAGCTTTTTTTGTCTATAAAAATTTTTTGCAGATGAGATTGTCACGGATAGCACCTGTTAGTGACTTTCTGTGCCAGGTTGGCAAGTATGTTATAAACATGGATGAGAGGAGAGAATTTTATTTAGCACCTAGTGTGTACCAAGCTCTCCTAAATAGTTCATAATGTGTATTTATATTACGTAATATATAAACACCAGGCAGGGTATTATAGCGTAGTTGTTAACGTGTAGAATCTGGAATTAGACCTCCTTGATTTTAATTATGACTCTTCCACTTACCTGTTGTGTGATCTTTGATAAGTTCCTTAAAGTCTGTTTCTTCATCTGTAAAATTAAAATAGTAATTTTACCTTTTAAATAAGTTGGTTGATGGTTTGATAAGTTAATATATGCAAAGCATTTATGACAGTACTGACACATAGAGGTTAATATGTGTTAGCTATTATTTTATATGAGTTCCTTAAGTTAAAAAAAAAAGATTTAAACTTATTTATTTTTTTATTTTAAAAATTGTTTTAAATATTTGTTTGCTATTATCTCATTTGGTTCTCAGAATAACTGGGTTAATAAATATCATTCCAGATTTGTTTGTTTGTTAAGATGGGGTCTTGCTATGTTGCCGAGGCTAGAGTGCAGTGGCTCTTAACTCTTGTGTTCATAGTGCTTTGTAGCCTCGAATTTCTGGGCTCAAGTAATGCTCTTTGAGCCCAGGATTACAGCTGAGATTACAGGCGGTTGCCACCACAGTTGGCCTCATTCCAGTTTTAAAGATGTGGAAACTTATTCAGAGAGGTTAAGTTAAAGGCAGATCCAGAATTTGAACTTGTGCCAGGGTAGCAGGGTTATGGATATTTTTGTGGAAGGAATCACACACAGTTCCTTTCCTCTGAGTCTTGTGGCCAGCCAGCTCTGCAGGATGCCTTGGTTGTAGCTCTAATGAGACAAGGCCACATACTAGCTTTAAATAAATGGGCGAGGAAACAGTGACAGTGAAAGATGTAACAAGGCATAGCAATCAGTCTCCTTCCCAAGACTGTAGGAATAAGCATACTCATATTTGTATTTCTGGTACCTAACACTGGGTCAATAATATATACTGTAGATGCAGACTGGGTGCAGTGGTTCACACCTGTAATTCCAGCAGTTGGAGGAGGCCAAGGCCACAGGATTGTTTGAGGCTAGGAGTTTGAGACTAGCTTGGGCTAACATAGTAAGACCCCCCCCCCACCTCTGTTAAATTTGAAAAATGTTTCGGGGGTGGGGCCAGGCGCCGTGGCTCACGCCTGTATTCTCAACACTTTGGGAGGCCAAGGCGGGTAGATCACGAGGTCAGGAGTTCAAGGCCAGCCTGGCCAAGATGGTGAAACCCCATCGCTACTAAAAATACAAAAATTAGCCAGGCATTGTGGTTCACACCTGTAACCCCAGCTACTTGGGAGGCTGAGGCAGGAGAAAAACTTGAACCCAGGAGGTGGAGGTTGCAGTGCGCGGAGATCACGCCATCACCCTCCAGCCTGGGCTACAAGAGCAAAACTCTGTCTCCAAATAAATAAATAAATATGTGTAATTTTCAAGGTCAGCTTTCTTTTCTATCTATAGAAGAAATTCTTAGACTTACGATGTTTTCAGTATACCTACTAGCATTTTCAAGAATGTTGATGGTTACCCTTGTATTTTAAATTTGACTTTTCCTTTTTAAGTCTTAATATATTTAGGAATTTTCATGGTATTAATAAAATAATTACTTTAGAGCAGCCAGAAAAGACTACTAAGATTGTTTAATGTACTTTACTTGCAGTACATATGGTTAATCTGAGGTCAGGAGAGGCTGCAGCCTGTTATTAAATTAATTGAAGTTTGAAATTATAGTGCCTAAAAGAAAAAGGATAGCTTTAATCTTTTAAAATGTATTTCATTGTTTAAAGATGTGTTTGAGCATTTGTTTTCCTTTTAGTTTTTGAAAATTTTCCAAAATTCAGTTGTGTTCCTTACCTTTTTAATATTTCTGTCTTTCAGGAGTCGGGAGAAAGCCGTGGGAGCTGAAGTCATTGTCGAGTGCTCGCGATCTTCTACAAGAAAATCTCACCAAATGATAGTCGTTTAAATTAGTGAAGTAGCAAGACCAGTTATTAAAGGTGACAGTGTACAGGAAACATTGCAATTGAACAATGACTCAGCTATATATTTACATCAGTTTATTGGGATCCTATCTGTTCATCATTTCTCGTGTTCAAGGTAAATCAGTGTTCATTTTAGTAATGTATTTCTGTATATAAAAAGCACTATTTCTTGCTTCTGTTCTTTCAACTCATCCCTGTTTGAATAGTTAGGCCCAGCCTACCAGGACAGCTTTTAGGAAAGAAGCAAAGATGAAACACGTGCCAAATAATTTTTTAACTTGGCTGTGATGGAAACATTTTCAAGTATTTTTGAAATCTCACTCTCTCTGTCTTCACAACATAGGCATGATGATACACAGCGTTAGGTCTTGTGAGGATTAAATGAGATAGAGTATGTAAAGCCACTTCATTTACTGCCTGAAAGATAGGGTAATAGGTACTCCAGGCTGAACTTCAAAATTTCTCTCTCTTTAAAATACAATAAGGAGCAAGTATAAAGAATAATTTAAAAATCATTTTATTGGCCTGGCATGGTGGCTCACACCTGTAATCCCAGCACTTCGGGAGGCCAAGGCGGGCAGATTGTCCGAGCTCAGGAGGAGTACCAGCCTGGGCAACATGGTGAAACCTCATCTTTACCAAAAAAATACAAAAGTTAGCCAGGTGTGGTGGCAGGTGCCTATAATCCCAGCTGTTCGGGAGACTGAGGCAAGAGAATCATTTGAACCTGGGTGGCGGAGGCTGCAGTGAGCCAAGATTGCGTCACTGCACTCCAGCAAGACCCTGTCCCCCGCCCCCTCCCCAAAATTCATTTTATTGTTGTTAAAAGACTAGAAAGATAACGTGTGCTTGTCTATGCTGAATACTAAAATTTCTTCATAGAACACTGACAGTTTGCTGTGACCAATAATGTAATTTTGCCACTGTGTATTCACAGCTCAGAACTCCCAAACAAGAAGTTACTGTGATGACTCTTAGGACCAGATGGTCTGTATTTGTACATGTATGGTTTAAGTAGGATCATATTTTAATCTGAAAAGACAATACTGTTTTGCAAGAGGATTTTACATAAAACTCACTGGATATCTTCGTTCTCAAGTTTTTTACTTCACAGGTTGCTTTTTCCTAATGTTTTGTTCACAGTGATCTGGATTAATACCTGCTGTAAAGAAGAAACATGATTAATGCCATTAAGCTTTTGATATTTTCATCTTAAAGCACATAGAATGAAATCTATAGCTTTTTTTTAAAAATTTTACCTTAGTATTATAATATCCTTAGTATTACCATGCTCAGAATACAGAGCCTTCTTGCAAAGCCCACCTTTTTTTTTTTTTTTTTTTTTTTTGAGATGGAGTCTTGCTCTGTCACCCAGGCTGGAGTGCAGTGGTACAATATCAGCTCACTGCAATCTCTGACTCCAGGATTCAAGTGATTCTCCTGTTGCAACCTCCCGAGTAGCTGGGACTATAGGCGAGTGCTACCATGCCCAACTAGTTTTTGTATTTTTAGTAGAGACAGGGTTTCACCATATTGGCCAGGATGTTTCTTTATCCCTTGACCTCATGATCTACCCTTCTTGGCCTCTCAAAGTGCTGGGATTACAGGTGTGAGCCACCACGCCCGGCAAAAAGTCACTTTTATTTGTGAAGCACCAAATTATTTAGTATAATACCTTTACTTCAGTATCCGTTACATGCCTTGTTGATCAACCTCATCCAAAGCTGCCACAGTTTTGAAGATGAGTTAAATTCATAGTAATGTTATTTTTTGCTACTTCACTCCCCGGTAATCTCCATTTTGGCATAAAATTTTTAAAAATCTATTTAGATTACACATAGGTAATATGATACAAAATTCCTAGTCCTCCCCCCAATTCACATTGTTCTATAATAAACTTTTATTAGATGGAATAAGTTGGTAATTAGTTACTATGTAAAAACAAAAAATCTTATTAAGGAATTACATTTCTCTGATAAAGAGCGAAATTTGTTACATTTCCTTTCAAAAAACTTATTTTGATAGTTGCTTCAACTAACATAAAAATGTTTGCTCTTAAAGCTAAAACCAGTGTAGAAAAGTTATTTCTTAGAGATCATGAGGAAGGATTGTAGAATGGTATTACTGGAAATAACTTTTGACTTTAGCTCTAGCTTTATCTTGTTTTGAATTGTGTCTCAGGAAAATAAACTTATCTGTACCTTGGTTTCCTTGATGTAAAATTGAAATAATAATGCTTATCTAGATATAAACAAGAAGGTTTTGACCATCAACTGTTAGGGTATAGATTTAAGTGCTTTACATTGAGATAAAGTTACTTAGGTTTGAATAGAAAAATGCGTCATCTGATACTAACAGCTGATAGATACCTAGTTTTTTTTTTGTTGTTTTTTTTTTAAAGACTTGGTCACAAATTTTAGAACCAGGATATGTTAATATTCGATAGATATTTAGTCCCTTTTTTGGACTTGGTCACAAATTTCAGAAATGGATTTTAGCTTTAAGTAACTAATAATGACTTCAGTAGAGATTTATTTTTAACATAGACAGTAGGTGTTTGCTGTTCATTCAGTTATTAAGTAGTGTCAAGGCTGACATATCTGTAATTTTTTTTTTTTTTTTTTTTTTTTGGAGACAGGTGCCAGGCTGGAATGCAATGGGCACAGTCTTGGCTCACTGCAACCTCCGCCTCCCAGGTTCAAGCAATTATCTTGCCTCAACCTCCTGAGTAGACGGTACTATAGGCACGAGCCACCAAGCCAAGCTAATTTTTTGTATTAAAAAATTTTTTTTGACTAAAAACTAGAGATGGGATTTCACCATGTTGGCCAGGATAGTCTCAGTCTCTTTACCTCGTTATCCACCCGCCTCGGCCTCCCAAAGTGCTGGGATTACAGGTGTGAGCCACCGCGCCCAGCCGCCTGTAATTTTCTTGACATTTCCCTTGTGATTCCAAAGTGGCTACTGTTACCTGCATTTGAGGCAGGTAAAACAGGGAAGGGGTCAGCACTGGCCTCAACTAGACCTGATACCAGGAAAGCAAAAGTGTTGCAGATTTTATCTTAAGTCTTAATCATTCCTAATCAGAAGAGCTACTGGAAAACAGGGAAACAGGATTGTCACAATTGACTTATTAGATTAATCTATATCCATTGCCTAGGGCTGGATGCGTTGTTTCCCCCAAACAAAATCACAAGTTTGGTTAACTAGGATAAGGGGTAAAATAGATACCAATTGGGCAGCTAAAACGGTTTGGGAGAGATTTTATCTTTTCCATCAATTAGAAAGTTTTCCTCTACAAGTAATTAAAAAAAATTTTTAATAGCTTAAACACGACATTTGGGGCTTGGTGATTTTTTTTTTTTTTTTTAAATAAAAGCTTAAACAAGGAGAATATGGTAACACACAAGAAGTCTGGATATAAGGGGACTGTAGTTAGTTAATTATGTGGCTCATCAAGACCCAAGTTCTTTGTCTTTTCAACTGTGTTATCTCTAAATGTCAGATTAGCCACAGTGTCACAGTGTGGCTGCTGAGAGACCAGACATCACATGCAGATGAGGTAGGTTTTAATTGACAATGCTCAGTGAAAGAAGAGGGATGAATATTTGTTTGTGTCTCTTTTTAGTTGATAAATCTTTCTCCAGTCTCTCCCTTCCTTTCCCCAACAGACTTCCTTCTAATCTTAGTGGCCAAAATTCATTATATGCTCTTGTGTTAAATCACTGGCAAGGGGAATGGAACTAAAATTGTTGGGTTAGACCAACAATGCACTTAATATATGTATACACGTGCACATGCCTGTTGCCAGCAAGGGAAGGAGGAGAAGAATAAGAGTATCTGTTGCTGGGTACCACATTTGTCAACCTGACATCATGCATATGCCAAAGTACTCATGTTGCTATGAAATTTTCAGTTCCTTTTCAGAGGGTTCTGTACCCTATTAATCCAGGACTTCTGGCTGGTGTAAAGCCCTCTCCTTCAGGTCCAGATGTGTGTGCCTCTTCATGGTCCAGCAGTGTGTGGCTAAAAGCAATTATCAATGCACAATATACCCAGGATCCAGTGATGAAAATTAAATGGGTTAAGTACTATATAAAACTCCCACTCAGAGGAAGAAAAGTTGGAAACAACCTCAGTATTCACTGCTCCATAGCTTGTAGATTAAGGATGCTTAGCCTGTTTGACAGCCTCCAGTTTTATTTTCTAGGAGGATTTGCCTTGTCTCTGGTGTTCCTTGGCTAGTGTTTCTACCTTCATGGTCACATCTGACATGGGATTAGTGGAGGACGATCTTTCTGGAAACCAAACAGCTTTAGCAACCTGCTTTCTGTTAGCATGGAGATCTGATTACTGGAAATTGTCCTATGGATTAAAAACTCACCGCCTGAGTCAGCCTGGAATATCTTTGGCATTACAGTTCCTATAAAGTTTTAGTAGTCCTGCATTCTGTTTGTTCCAGTCTCTTCGCTTTTGTTCCATTAAACACAGTTAAATATCTTGTCTAGATGTGTGTTCTGGGAATATCTGACCTAGCCACTGGCCTCAGCTTTGCCTATTCTCCTGGTCCTTGGTTTAATGACCTCCGCTCTGAGGGACTCTGCTCCTTTCCCTTGCTAGAAAATGACCTGCTTTATTTGGTATCATAGCACTTATCTATGAATAAATATTAAAGTAGTACCAAATGTCGGTATTTATTGGTCTTTATTATCTTTCTCCATCTAAGACTGTAAGCTTTCATAGATACAGGACCTTGTTTTGTTTACTCTTCCAGTCACCCGGGGCCTAAAACAGTGGCTAGCACTGTGTACTTACTCAGTACGTTTTTGTTTAATGGATGAATACAGTTAAAGTGAAAAAAGCAAGTTGCAAAACTACTTTCTTAGCCATATATTTTTACACTGACCAACCCAGTAGCAACAAGCACCTGTAACAACCCAATTGTAGAATCTGATTATCTTTTTTTCACTAAGGATCTAGAACTCCTTGGAGAAATCACTGAGTCTGGCAGGGAAAGAGCAAGGTGATCTTGGAATATCTTAGCCGGAAAGTAAGGGAAAGTTCAAAGGATTCAGGGACCTGTTTGAATTGGATAATAATTGTAGTGAATTCAAA